TTGTTTCATTCATTTGATGACACTAGATAACAGTAAACTTTGAATGGTACTGACTTTGACAGTAGACGCTTCAAAATAATCAAGTAGTAAATTATGTATCATTTAAATAACTCCATGTCGGATATGTATGACAAGAAACGCATTCAACAGAAGCTGAGTCAATCATGTTACAAATAACTGCTGTAGGTTTGGAGAACATATTCTAAAGCTATTTTCCATTGGAGTTTCACTTCAAGTATGACCGACTCATAGGAAAAATCCTTCTTTTTCGATCTACACAAGCTCCAACTTTGTCCCATGTTTCATTTCTGAGTTACCAAGGTGTTCCTCAAACCCTCGATTTCACCAAACTGACCTTGGAAGACTCCAAAAGAGTTCAAACCAGGGTTAATTTATCACGCTAAGTCAAGTAGTGACGCTTTTTTCTCAGTTATAAAATGACGCAAGACTACCATTTTAGTATTTTTGAAATTTCAATAACTTTCTCTGCACTACATAAAAATTGAAATTCTAAGTCTTGAAAAAATGGTTTCATGTCGCTTTGAAGCTGAAAACAAATAGTACTATTCCACTCAGCACAATAAACTACCTTCATCTCGAGAATATCTTGGTAGTCTTCGATGATTAGTTTGCTGGAATAGGTAGTCTCAGGAAAACAAGGTAACTTGGAAATGGAACATGCTAGAAAGTTGGAATCTGCATATGTAGAAAATGAAGAATCTTTTCTACCGATTAGTCATACTCCAAGTCCAACTCTAATGGAAAATGGCTTGAAAATTTTCTTTTCAAAATCCCCACAGAGAAGTCTTCTGATTGGTCAGTTGTTGATCAATCAGATTTCAGCATAATCAGGTGAACCAAGTCTTCGATGTTGTGTGGTAGAAACATTACATCTCTATGCCGTTCTTATTAAAAGTTATTGAAGAAATAGTCGGATTGATTGTTTTTCGAAAACAAGAATAGTCAGGAATAGATGATCATTGTGAAAAATCATTGACTGTATATAAGGCATGGTAGAAATCGAAACGCACAATTAAAGGTATATCCTAAATATCTTAATTTACGGTAGTATGATGTACATTTGAGACTTATAAATGCAGAAATATGTTCTTTATACATCTCTATTGTTTTGTATTTAGTTATCAAATTTATCTCAAGTACCTGCAAAACCTCAACGACAATCATCGATTCCAACATCTATCAATCCTTCATCTTATGAATTAAATCAAAGTGTTTCCTCGTCTCAAATATCAAATACATCTTTGGAGGTAAATTAAATACATTTTTATTTTACTGTTCATTTGATTTATTGTTTATTTTACTAAAAAAGATGAATTCTCAAAGTGATACTCTTCGGAAAAAGAATCTATTACGAACACGAGCTATTGATGAACAAGGTAAGGTTTATTTTTTTTAAATATCAATAGATTGAAATTTTTATTTTGTACTCAAAAAGAAGGCGATGATGAAGACGAAGATGAAGACAAAACTCCAACTGGCAGTTCATTTGAAGATGATCAATCAGATTCTCTAGATGAGAAAAATCGTTTTATTGATACAGATGTTGAAACCATCAAGAAGTCTAATGAACGTGTTGATGATTGGAAAACAAATTTTAATTTAATTGAATCTGAACTTACTCTATCAGATCATGATGAAGAAGAAGAAGAAGAAGAATGCTCAACTTGGTTATAAATATACATATATAAAATAATATATATATAATCAATAATTAATTTAGTTTTTGAAAAACTATTTCTTACTTATTCCTATTATTACAAAAGAAGATGTTATTCTCTATCAAGTCATATAAAACGTCTACATGAGTATTCAAATTATATATACAAGATGTTCCAAACTTCCATCGGGAAAAAGAACGTGAATTACTCATGAACAATTCAAATCATACACATGTGTTTTCTATCGTTTTATTCAATTTTTTTAAAATTTCCTTTCGCATAATATGATTTGTGTTTATTGTTCAATTGCTCACAATGAAATGAAATATTAAATAGAATTTCAATGGAAACCATTGCATTCTTCTCACTAATCGTCCTAGTTAATTCAATCTGATTCGGAATAGATACCTTTCATATGTTATTATATAAAGAGTTTGAGAGATGCTAATAGGAAAACTTTCCCAAGTGAAACTCTGTTTAAAACGTGATATTTTGTCTATGTATACGCCTTAATGAAACTAGAAAAATCCTAGAAAGGTTTGTGTTTTTGTGGCTTTCTTGCTTAGATATGAAGTTCATATATTCACTGGAAGTGTCGTCATTTATAGTGGGATACGCTGCAATGTAAATTTTTTCACAATAACGAGCAATACATATACTATTCTTTTTTTAAGTGTGTTGCATTTCACAATGGTCATCGATAGCACACTATTTTAGCTTTGTAAAAGACTCTTAACATCAGATATCAAAGTTTGTTGCTTAACACTAGTTCGCATGAACAAGAGTATGCAAATTGAAGTCGACTTTTTTCATATGAGACGTCGATGAACATACACTTATTTAAGTAAGCAATAATCTTCATATTATCCTCTCGTATCGAGTGTAAACAATGTTTAGCTAGTCGTAGGAAGAGCAGGTCATCAGAATTTTATTCCTTCTCTGTATTGTCATGCAAGCTGTGCAATTCAGTACACGCAAAAACAATAAGAATTATGTAGTGTTTGTGACTGCGGAAACATCTACACTGCAGCGTATTCTACCAATATAAATGGTGACACTCTCAATGAAAATATAAATTTCATATTTCAACACGGACGTCAAAAACAACTCGAACTATTTTAGACTTTTTCTAGTTCCACTAAGCCCTACATATGGGCAAAATATACTTACACGCATCTAGAATCACAAACGCACACCTATACTCTGATATAGAACTTAAATTATGTATTGTTCAATAATTATTATCTAATGATGGTTATTGAACTAATTCACAGATATGAAAGGAATCAGAAGTTGAATAAACATTCAACGGAATTTTATCGGCATCATTTTGTTTTTCTAATGAATGATTTTGTTCGTTCTAACATTTTACCAATCTCATCATTGTTAATACTGCAAATTTTTTATTTTAAGTTGTGCATGTTTTGTTGGGTTTGCATGTGTTTCAGCAAGTTGCCTGACCTATATTTTTAAAACATATTACACTGCACACATAGATTTGAATGTAACTATTTTGATTTTATGAAATTAATACTGAATAAGGGTATGGATGTCAGCGAGCATAATACTCACTTGCATATACATACTTGTACCCCAGTCATTAGTGAAATATATTCAGCTGAGGACTGAGAAATGATTCAAATTGGAATAGTGGTAAGTCTTGATCGAATTTTTATCAATTGAACAAGGATTTCCGTAGAAAAATTTACTCATGTAATTAAAATCTCAGCGAAAAAATGAAAGTCTCTGATGGTCGAAATGCTAATTTTTCATATTTAAATTGTATTATTGTTTCTGAGCAATTATTATTTAACTTTGAGTGTCGCAACAACACTTGTGTGTTATATCCAATTGGAATCTGTAGTGATCAACTGTGTTACATCCGAATCACATGAGATTTGAGTTGCTACTATCGCCTTAATACGCGAAAAAATTAGGTCAAGTTTCATTGGTCTATTATCTAGAAGAATTTTTGCGGAAAAACAGGGTGTTCAGACTACATTTTAGTCGAATCTTTTACGTTCGTGTTTAATACAAAAAGAATTCATTAAATAAATAAAACCATACTAGATTGTTCATATACTTTTTGTTATCAAGTATAATAACTGTGTGAAATGAGTACGTCAGCTAAAATTTCAAGTTGATCATCAGTGAACTTTGTCCGATGTTCATGCCAAGAATCGTAATGTGTACGACGAAATTCAGACAAACATTCTTTGACAGATTTCTAGAACAACAGAAATATAATTCATTTCCTACTCTATCAAATAGAAAGTGACTCACTTGAATCAAAAGAGGATCATGCGAATGTTCGCACAGAACCATTAATGCATGTGGTATATAACTCGCAACATCATAGGGACTCGAAAGAACAATAGCACAAAGACCCAAAATACCTATAATAACAGTAATGCACAACTCGAAAAGTAATCAGTGAACCAAACAGAATTACGCTCTCAGTATTTTCAGTTTTTCTTTTTTTCCTGGTTTATTTATTTATTTATGATCTATTGTGAGAATATAAATTCTAGAGTCCAAATTTTTCACTAAATTGTTCGAGTCATTACTACTTTTGTATTCTATCAATAAATACTTACCACTATGTCGTTTAATAATATCATTCGTCGACATAACTTTCTTCCCATCGATTATCGTGAAATAGTCAATTTTACTCATGGCGATAAAATATGTCTTTTAATGATGAAATCAACTGCAATGTGTTTCAACAAGAAAAATAAATAGATCCTACCAAATCGTCTTCAGTGACTGAAATGTAACCACATTGATAGAAACCTGATAAAGTTTTCGATGCAGTCAATCGTACTTCTAATTGCTCATCGAATAAACATTTGCGTACAAGTTCATGTAATCGTTTTGCATGACAACGAGAATTGAATAGGTTGCAAAAGACCAGATTTTGAATGAATTCAATAGCTGCTTGCCGTGCATGCCATTTTACAGTCTTACAAACCTATAGTATATCAAAAACAGAACCAGTTTAGTAGGAAAAAGAAGAATCGATCTTGACAAAGTGTATACGTATTCCAATTGTTGAATAAGTGTTTCTAAATGATGTGCATCTAAATAGGCCATGCCAATAGACATACGTGCGATCGACAGACGTTTTTTAAAACCATCGTCATTGGTAACAATACTTTGAATTTCACAGAGCTGAATAAAAGAAACAAATGTGTGTATATAACAGTTCAAACTTAATGGCATGTCAATATTTCAATAGACGTACATAGGGAAACAGACGAATGATACCTTCCTTTATTGGTTGATGGGATTGAATGAATAAATTTGAATATAGATCAATCACTAAATTATATCCAAAGAAAATAGTTGATTTTTGAATAGAATAATTTTACCTGTTTCAATTAAATTTAATGCTTGACGAGCTTCGACATCAAGCTCAATACTTGAACCGGAAATATTTACTAAAGAGAATTTAGTTTGTTGTCTTCAACGATCGATAAAAATTGCTAATATCTTACCCAATGGTTTACTTTCATAAATATCAATAGCTTGACGCAATCGTTCACGCATCCTTTCGCTGAATTGATCAGTATTCGGATGACGTGCTGATTTTCCATCAAATAATTTCAGATCAAGTCCAAATGACATCGCTAATATACTAACAATAAAGACTCAATTCGATTTACATGTAAATAAATTTAGAAAAGTTTTTTTTTTTACACAGCAATACGTTCTCGTATCCATTTCGATGAATGATCGAGTAATTCTTTAGCGTATTCATGAATTGAACACCATATTGATGGAATACGCCATTGTAAAACTCGAAGACTTTGAACAAGATACCATCGAGATGCTTCATTAAATGTATAAGCTGTTGAATGCTGATCGATTAGTTTATAAATGAAATTAATTGGTCGACACATTCGACGAGGATCTGTATCGTTCTTTCAAAATATAATTCGAGATGTCATCGAAATCTTGAATGACAAAAAAAAGAAACAAAACAACTTACTAAACAGTATCGAAAACAAGAACCCCAATGTAAATAGCTTTCTTGATTAAGATTATTGCTAACTTCAGTGAGAAATGGTGTTAATTTTTGCCAAAGTTCATCTAACTAAATTGAATAGATTTATAAATATACCAAGACATAATGTTTGCAATTATTTGTAAAGAAAATTTTTTTAAAATTAAATCAATTTTACTGACCATTTCTAATGTCCAATATTTCGAACCACGAATTATACCGGCTATAATTTCGGATGCTGCACGATGACTACCTTCGTATTTCTCTTGTATCTTTTCACGAATGAGTAAGTACAATTGTTCGATGAAATTGTTGACAAATGCCATTCCGAAATTACGAAAGAGGCCCTTAAAATAATCAATTATTTTTATATAAAATACAAGAAGAAACTTCTTGAAAAATTCAAACCATCCTTAGTATGATTTAAATATATTAACATCTGTACTTATTCAATTTACCTTGTACATCAAAAATCGAAGTTTATTGAATTCAATCTCGCGTTCATCAAATATGATAACTTTAGTTAATTTTACTATGAAATTTTTGTCAAGAAAACGATCAAAAATAATTGATACATGTTTTGGCATTCGGTCAGAATTGTAACGTTCACGTTTATTTATTGGATATTTGATCAACTTTCGCCATTGATAATAACCATGATGCCTTTTATCTAAGAAGCATGTTTCTTCCCATTCAGTTTGTAGTTCAGGTAATTTATAATTATTATATGTTATCCATAAATTATCATCACGATCACCTGGTTGCAATTGATCATTGAACTTCAGAATTTCGTCAAGAGATTTTTCAACATAAATTCGAGGTAGTTTTTGTAAACGACAAAATGCTGCAATAGCTTTGACAGCATGCTAAATAAGATCGAATTAAAAAAAAAGTAGATTGATTAACTAAAAGAAACTTTTCTCAACAAACCTTTCGTAATTCAATATTATCATGAATGAGAAAATTAAGACAAGTTTCAATACATGATGACGGTATTGATACATGTTTTTGAAGAAGTAGACATAAAAATGACATGGCCATCTTTTTTTGTCCCCATGTTCTAAAAAAATTCTCAAGCAAAACAATGAGTATGATGAATGAGAACAAATGAAATAACACTTACGATGTTTCATCATTGAGTAGTGAACAAAGTGTATCGATCAGATGATTATATGATTGAATATTCGTTTGATGACGTTTTTCACGAATTTTTATGCCGATTTCTATTTCATTTGGTTCTAATGGACGCCATAGTGCAATTGCCGCATGTTCAGATGTCTGATTTGTATTATCGATGAGTGCAATTGTAACAAATTGTTTTTCAATTTGTTTCTTCAAATCTTGAATCAAACGTTCGATACTGATTTTTTTTGAATAACTTCGACGAACAATTAATGGCCACAATTTGTTCATCATTGTCCATGAATGTTTTGTTGGCAGGAAACAATGATTATTACCGAAAAGAATATACAGACAACCCTAATATGATATAATTGAATGAATAATATGAGAATAAAATGAAATAAAGAACTTTGATTTTATTGTCATTGGTTTCGTCTGGCATATCAAGTATTTCAACAATGCGATCGACAATAATTTCGAATGAAAAAAAATAGTTATTGAGAAACAAGAAGAGTTTCTCTTGAGCAAAACGACGTACCTATACTAGAAATAGAAAAAAGTGATTTGCAAAAATATTTATTTACTTCACTATATCGATTGATAGATAAATCGAATAATTTTAATTCGATTTGTTTGTCGATTTCAGTCAATATTCGAAAATTATTTAATTCAAATTCCTAATAATAATCAAATATAGGTGGGTATTCACTATTGTGGTATTCATGATTATACTTCAATTTGTAGTTCAATTTGATTGATTATTAAAGCACATGGATTATCTCGTTCACCAATGATTTCATTTCGAAATAATGTTCTTATCAATTGAACATCATTTCGCATTTGAGAAACATCAGTAGAAAATACACCATAGTATTCACATGACAAGACACAGATCTACGAATTTGTTTTGATTATTGACTTTCGATCGATATGAATAATACTTACATAGAGAGCTTTTTTTATTGATAAAACATCGTCTGATTGGTTTTCAATTAGCATATCTAAAGAGGCTCATAAAAAATTGATCGATTTAAAGAAAATTTACCGATTAATTTGCCTATGTCAAGAAGAAGACGCATTCGTAAATTCTCTTGAAATTCTAAGAAAGACAAAACGTGTTTGAAAATGAATATGTCTCACAGAATAATTACTTGGATTCAATTGTTGGTAATAGGTTGGATATAGACTTTGAGATTGTGAATTACAGGGAACCGTGGACAATACACTGCAATAATTATTAGTGTCGAAATCTATTTGTTTAAATGATTTGGTTTTGCCCATTTATTATTTACTTACAGATTTGGTACCTCTTTGCTTTCGATACGTGATACAATACGAAAACATCCAATAGCGAGGCTACTAATAACTGTCAGCGATCGTAGTCGTTCATCTTTGGATACTTTCAAAAAGTTCTCTTTCAAAAACATCAATTCTGAATAGATAAATGTATTGACAAAGTCACAAGCAAAATCGATTTCATCAACATTAGGAATGTGATATTGAACTTGAATTTGATCAAAATCAGCATTTTGTCCCCAGATCTGAATAGTTATATCAATAATCGAAATATGAGAAAGAGAGAGAGAACAAAGAAGTTACTCGAATAGGTAAGAAATCAATGAATGGTTCGTCAAGTTTTTCTCGAGTAAGACGATAATTCATTGGATAAATATTCAAAAGTGATCGAAGTAAATTTTGAATTGCTTTAGCAATAGCTTCATAAGAATCCTTGTGAAGAATACGAATACATTGATGAAAGATAGACTTAATCATTTTTTGGTAAATAAGTAAAATATCACCGTGTGCTTGCACTAGTTCAGCGAAAAGAACTAAATACCAAGTAAGTTCGAGATCACCATTATGATCGTTGAGTAGAGTTATTTCTGATTTATGCAAGATCTTTTCAATTGACTCACATGTTTGTGGTAAGAGAGTCTCCAATATTTCGATTGGATAGCATTTGACCATGGCTCGAACGAGTCCGGCGACTAGTTGTCGCACATTCGGTAAAAATATTGAACCACTAATAAAATTTGTTATCTTCGTCTTTATCATCTAAATGTCACACAGGCATCATAGAGAGCGAGCAAGAGGTGTTATGATGGAGTGCAAAAAACTTTCAGAACCTAACTATTGTTTTTATAAGCAGAAAAATCATCCTATTTTATCTATTTCAGAAATGCTGATCGAATAGAGTCTGACAGTGAGTACATTGGAAAACGGTCGATTAAATCTAAGACATACACGAAAAATGTTGCTACTACATTGCCGAAGAATACTGGTCACTATTGATGTTAATTTCACTTGTAAATTATCATTATCCGTATATTTTTCATTAATATTCACAGCATCTGAAAAGTCCGTAGATAGTATATTGATCATTTGAAATATTCGATCGAGAAACTTCGTTATAAAATCTTCGAATTGTGCCGTAGATAGACAAACTTCTTTTTCGATCTATATGAAATATGTGTGTATTGTTTCTTATCGTTAGAAATTAGTATTCGAATCTTACCTCATTGAGATCATTTCGAGTGTGTACCGCTGATGAGCAATCGACACATGAGATTAACATGAAAATAGCATCGAAAAAGTCCAATGTCATTGATGTCTTTTCAATATCATTCAAATCAATACCGGGTAATACTGACATGAGTAATGGTAGAATATAAGTTTGTCCTTGGAAATAGGACGATGTTTGTCGTACTAATTGACGAGTCATACGTTTGAGACAGTGCATAAGTGATGTAAAACGATGTGCTTCTATTAGATTGTCGATGGATAAGAGAAGTCTAATGAAAAGGATCAAAATTTAGTCAATGAAGTCGAAACTATTCAAATATCAGACTTATCAACAATTGGTGACACAATAGATTCTGGTCGAAGCATGGCCAAATATTGACAAGCTTCAGCAGCCTCTTTTGTATAATCCTTATTAAATATAGACATAAATGCATATTCTTTGATACAATCGACAAAATCTGTGATGTCCTGTTCAGTCAGCCGATACGATTCAGGCAGTACAAAGAACCAAACAAGGTAAGTTTTGCGTTCCCTAAAGAATATTTACTCATTAAAAGTTACATTATATAAATGATGTTCATATTTACAGATGAATTCGATCGACAAAAAATCGTGTCAAATGCAATATGAATTCGACTAATCGTTTTTGAAATTTTCCCGTATTCGATGGATAATAGAAACTTCTTATAGCTATGAATAAATCTCGTAAATATTGAAGACAAGAATTTCTATTGCCTATCATTCCAACAATCCATCGAGAGATTTGTGACACAAAATAAATATCTTCGTTTGCAGAAATTTGCATGGTACCTATTGGAAGTGAAAAACTTCGCAGAAAACGCGTAAAAATCTAGTAGATCAAAGTTTAAGTAACGTAAAAGAAGAAACAATAATAATTTCCAAACCTGTGCTAACCATGATTCCCAATCGATATAGCCAATATTGTACCAGGCAAGACGTGCAAAAAGTTGAAGTAGAGGCTTAAGTGAATCATTAAACATGGTAAACAAAATTATGCATCAAACTTACTATTCCCCAGTGTGTTTTGTTATAGACACTTTCCCAAATACCGAACAACTCAGATAGCCATAATCTGTTGTTGAAAAATGATGCATGAAATATCAATAAGAATGAGAAAGAATAGACATACTTGAATCCTTGAGTATGTAAAGATGGAGGCAAGTTAATTGGTAGAAAACCTTCGAGTATTTTCATGGCATTATACATAGAGTAATTATCGATAGGACACAATTGTGGGCGAATCTCATCAAGAATTTCTTGTGTAGCCATTTCCGAAAAGTATGGGGAACAACAGCGCACACACCGAAAAATGGACTGATCGAAATCTCTTGAAAATAATAAGAATCATTGAAAAATCATTTACACTAGTCTATGAGAAGTTACTAACTTAGGCAAAGTGATCAGTCCATAAGTAGTATCATGACTCTTGATAGAGAATTTAGCCCATCGATAGAATATCCACCAGTTGATTGTCAGTTCATTTCGGTTGATCAGCCGAGTCTTTCTGCAACGTATCATAAATAGAATTTACTTTAAAATTTTCTTTTTTTCAATGTATAAATCGACCAATAATTACGTACTGCAATAGACAAGTGATCATTTCAAAACAAATAGATGCGTGGACACAACTGAGGTCGGTTATGGAAAGAATAGATACATAAAATTGAATAAGTTTAATATGATCAATTTTGCTAAAAAATAATCCATGGAGTGAAATAAATCGTTTTAAATTGTACGACCAAAGTCTGAAGGCTGGTTGAAATTCAAGTAGTTGAACGGCACGTGATAGATTTTCTCGAATTTCTTCGAATGATGTCAATGCTTGTTGCTTAATAATTGGATAACATGGTAAGTGCTGATTGTAAATATTGGGTCTCTGCAAGTTGTCATTGTATATATCTGAATTTCGTTCATCAATGATTGCATGACTATGCATCGATGTATCTAATAAGAATATTAAATTAAACAAACAATGCTAGTAACAGATCGAATAATTTCATTTCAGTACGGACAACGATCAGCAGGGAAAGGAAAACAAACGTGACGAAAATACATTGAAAATTCCTACAATTATCATTCTTTTCTCTTTCACTCTATTGTTCCTTCATTCATGATGAAGATAGGAAACAACACTCCATCAAAAAGCATTGATAAGGTACTAGAAAAGTGTTGGGTACCGTTTGCGTATGGTGTGAGCCATGGTTGTCTATCAGTATCTTCTCTGCCTATATGCTGAGATATATACACACATCCTTTTCTTTCATTTATACTGATGAGTTCAATTAATTTGATTATATAGGGGTCGAAATGTCATGTTACACTTTTTCGAAGCCAGGAATGAAATGTTGACATGTAACCAATAACTCTCGCTTACTGTCATAATTATCTAACCTGTTCTTTTCTTTCGTTGTTTGGCACTTCTCTTTCTGCGTTGTTCATTTTTTATATTCCCCTAATGGCACTTTTTTTTAATTTTTTCTTTCTTTCGTTCTGCTTGATTATTTTCCCTTGCATAGATATGTTTTCATCTTAACAGGTAATTTCTGCATGGCAACTAAATTGTATTCTAGAAACAGAGTATTCATTTACACTATCGAAAAGCTGTTAAATGCTTATCTTGTTCTCATTGATAACGATTCTGAATGTAACAATAAATCGTGATAATTTGTAAAAGCCTCTTAACAAGAACGAGAACTATTCTGCAGCATCTTGCAGCCATAGTACGGTAGCTGTCAGTATTCGACAAATCAAGTATATATTTAGATGCCATGACACAAGTTAATTTTTCTAATAGTTGCTAGAGGAGATTCTACCTATGATTGATATTGGATCACATAGAAATCTAAGTTTAGTTCATCTCTGAAATATTTTCATTTGATCTCGTGTGATTTAGAAACTTATTATACTATTCTTAAGTAAAGATAAAAAAGTAAAGTTGATTATCGATTATTTCCTTACTTTTTCTGTACGCCAATAAAGTCTTTTAACAATGTTCTGACCGTCGAAACTATTCGTTTTTCTTTCATTATCAAAACTCAAAGAAACGTGTGTAAATATTTACTATGCATCATACACATCTTACTCTTTAAAAGAAATAGTTTATTGTTGACAGAATTACAATCACAGAAAGAAGTTTTTAGGAAGTAATCTTATCAACTGTTTTCTTCTATATGTCATGATTTTTTTCTTTTCTATATATTAGGTATTTTCCCATCCTATCATATGTATTTTCCCTTTCGAACTCTTTATTTTCTCTAAGGTATTTTTCCTAAACGCGCTTGGATATTATAATATCCTTGGTGTTGTTCACCGACATACGTATATGGCAAGAGATTTATTATAAAAAACAGTTTCAGTATATCGTATACAACTATCTTTAACTATTGCTCGATAGAAGGAAAATTTTTTCGAATTGGAATAACTTCACAAAGTCTGACATCGGTTAAACTAAATTAATAGTGATTTATCCATTACAAATTTTCGTTCACTTAGGTTTCGCATTTCTCTTGAGAAAGTAGAAGGACGTGGATGTGACAGTGAAGAAAAAACCCAAACCCACTTACTGCTAAACTTCTCTTTATAAGCCTCGAATATGATTGTGATGTTACTGGTGAATGATTAGTCATTCATCGATGGTACGGTTATCCTTGTTTTGTAGATATGATACATACAGAAAGCGTTATATGGCTTCTAAGTATGAGTACTATCCACAACAAAGACAGTACAATCAGAATAGAGCGAGCCTATCAATTCTTTACTCTTGACGAAATAAGTTGTGACTTAAACTATATTAGTTGTTGGCAGTTTCGTTCATTATCATCTACCTTGGTTTTCTTTGCTAGTTATATGTTGTGCTTACTGCTATTGCTTTTCTTTGCAACCATCGTGACATTCGCACCTGTGGCTGACTCAAACCAAACATCATATTTACTTCGTATTTTAAGGACAATCGAAGTTATTTTGGACTGTTGTTCTACAGGATTGTTTAGGGTGAAATGTTTAATTAGCGAATCATCATCTCGTCCAGCAAATATCATATATTCTTCTTCCGATCTGGTGATCATTTGTTCAGTAAATAAAAGAAAAAACATAGAGAAATCCAATCTCGAATCGATTAACTAATTCAACCTCGATGTTCTCAATGACAATGTCAAGAATTTCTTTTCAATGAGGCTCATGATATAATTATGCTACTGACAAAGTCCATCTCTCTCGATTTTGCTCGACAAAAGACATATCAAACAGTTGATGACTATGAACCGTATCTTCTTGTCATTGGTATCTGCAACAATAACGGTGAATTGAGAAAAAAAAATCAAACCCTAGAAGACTATTTTTTTTATAAATGGTAAAATTAATTGCTTTATGACTGTGACTAATCATGAGTTTTCTTTCCATTCATATTCACCCAAATTGGACCTAATCAAAAGTACTTTATTAGTCAACTTTTTTCACTTTATCTGCAAGAAAGAGAATCTATATGTTTTATGTATTTGTGATTCATTTTGAGAACTGTTTCAACTGAGTCGCTTAGATTAATAATAAAGACTCTCGTTTTTCTTTTAATTCATGTACTGTATCCTAATTTTATTAAGCCACAATCTAAACTAAAAGCAAAATCAACTTCTTCTAAGTAAGAGAAAATTATTTCAAGAAACAGTAGGTTACTCATTGTTTATTTCTATTTGGTAGAGATAAACTAGAAGCAGACACCAAAAATCGTGCAATTCTATTCGTATTGTATAAGTTTGATGTTGGATGAAGCAATATTGACTAGTTATAGTTTAAGTGATTAGCAAAGAAAATATGTTTTAATTAGTCTTTGAATTTTTCATTGCTTTTCAGTGCTCCAAAGTATTGACTAAGCCACTGGTTCCAGAAAATGATGAACATAACCACTGGCAACGAATTCTGCCGGATAAACTTTGTTTCAAACTTTGGTCAATTTTTGAAGATGACCAGGATGAGTTGCACTTAGTACTGCTGGATTCAGAGGAAAGCAGACAAATACTGTATGGACACAAGAAGTCAATATTGTTGTAATAATTGTACTGATCAAAATGCTGATTAAAAAGCTAATGGATCCAGTTATAATAGTAGCTAGAGTTCGTTCCGACGACTCGAACAAAAGAATATAAATGATAAAACCGCCGACAACTGATGAACAGAGAACAATTAAAATATTGATTATCCTCAAACTAGTGCCCACAAGAGAATCATTAATAATCGCTGTCCAGGCACGTACCGAAGGGGGGGCCCATGGGGTTCGGGGTCCCCTCAGGACTGAAAACGCCTGTAGGAGAGTACAGGTATACGTTTTTTTCCACCAAATTTTTGTAATTTTCCCATGCCCCCCCCCCTAAGGACTTCTGACCCTCCCCTCAGAAAATTGCTGGGTACGTATCTGTCGCTGTCCATCCACGTTTTCGAAACAACGCTATAGAATTTCGACTAGCCTCAACAAATTCTTGACTGGTAAGTGCCGCATATATAAATGCCCATTCGTTCATATAACCAATTACTTTGTCGACTACTTCAAGAATACATCCCATGAAACAAAACAGAAAGTTCTCGTTGGGCTTGTCTTTTCTTGTAGTCGAACATAGAGCTCGAGGCTGTGGGTGTGGGTGCACATGTAGAGCGTGTGTGAGAATGTGAGTCTTGTTCTCATTCTTACACCCTCTTCCAAACCTCCTTATCACACTCCCACCCTCATCCTTATATTTCTAGAAAAAGTCATATTGCCTTGAGTTTTGACGATTAAAAGCAATCCAAGTCTCCATATCGTCTCAGAACTCTAACTTTGAACAACTCTGATTAGACAGTCTTAGAATATGTAGGGGGACTTCATTCTACAATGCATAGAACAGAAAGATGAGAGAGATGCTCTGGTTGTCACCGTTACTGTTACCTCATTGAAATGCATTTCTTATAGAGTTTTCCTTTCAAGTAAGATATCGCTTGATAGAAAGTCCATATATGAAAGACCGCCGTAAAATGGATAAGAAACCTTATGGAATTATTGTAGGCAAAGAAGATAAGCAATGATATGAATTCAAAAATAATGAATATGTGATTGTTAAATTGTTCCCATAAAACTGCTACCTATTCCAATAAGTCTCTTCATTACATTTGTTAACAGTCTATGGGAAGTAGCGCCTCGTTTTAATCCTTAGTTTATAGTTTATGAATATTTAAACCTGATCTCTATAGACTTGACTTTTCTCTAGATCGATTTTCTTAAAATCGTAACTTTTTTTTTATATAAAAGTTGTTAAGTATGTTATCTACTAATAGTAAAAATTTTTAAATAAAATAGATGAAATTTGGATGAGATGTAGCTGAAAACTACTGACAAAAAGTTTCTTTTTTTTTACAATGCTTTAAGAAAAATTATGATATCTTGAAAATGCATCAATATTTTTTCAGATGATTTGAGTAGAAATCTATCTACAACATGGTCGTATAACCTCTACATAATAAATGTTCAAATCAATATTATTGATTGATTTAGATAGGCTATAGATGACATGAAATACGTTTGCTTTACTTTATATCTGATAAGAAGTTCGATCGAATTGAGATATGGATCATTTTTTATTTTCAAAAACTTTTCCTCTTATTATCTTGATGATATTTTACTATAACAGTCTTAGACAAAAACAAACGATTGTATATCAAAAGATATAATTATATTATGTAATTTGTTTTTTTGAGTTTTGAATTACTGATATTTATTAGAATATTTTTCTCTTGTGTCTTCCACTTTGGTTTATATGTAATAATTTAATAAAATCAGCGGAGAACACAGACAAAAATATCTGTGTGAGACATCTCGTCAGAAAACATGGACGTCGCTTCTTTTCTTTTTTCTTAGTCGTTGCTATCAAACAATTTTTATAGTTGCTACGTTTCTATAGTGAGTCGGATTTTCATTGGAGGTGCCAATTAAAATATTTCTTTTTTTTTTCTATTAGTTTGTCATACATCGTAGCGTCAACTACTAATATTGTCTTCATCTGATGTTTGCTCAGTTACCTTTCATACTTTGCTTCTCAAAGTGCATTTATATTGTGAATAATCTGTCTTTATGTTTCTTGTATAATGCAGATCGTCTTTTCCTTCAACGTCAACAACATAAATGTCTGTTAGACTTTTGTTCGCGTACATGTCGTAGATTTTAATAATTAATCATGAGACTTTAGCATTGAGTATTATTCTTGTGATGTTGAAAATCTAAGAGACTTGCCATTTTCAAGAATTTTTTCTTTCATAACAAGAACTATATATAGAAGTATTGTAGTTTGACGTTGACGCACATTATATCTGCAGTTTTTTTCAAAAAAGATTGTATCAGAAGAAACATTAGTATGATTTAATGAATGCAATTCTGAAATGAACTCGAAAAGAGTTCAAACTCTTTTGAAATTGGCTTGATCAAACTGTTGCAAAACTTCTTGACAAAAAGTCTCTTTTTCTTTCTTTCATCATTGCATTATCTCTAAGCCGTACTGTAATGTTTCAAATTCAAATCCAAAAAGTTTGAACTTGTCTAATTCTTCTGTGTAGCTTTTAGGCACTATTCATTCGACAAATTTATCTAAAGCAGGTATAAATTTTGTTCTAGGTTGTTTACATCTTTGCCCATTACAATAACTACGCAAAATATGGCCAGTGGTAAAAGTGTTGAAGCACTCAAAGGCACTTGGGATCATGTATGAATATATATATATCGTCTATCTGCATTATATCTATTTTTTTTACATTAGGTTAACGATGAAAATATGGATGAGTTCATGAAAGAGATTGGTGTCGGAACAGCTATGCGTATGATGGCCAAAGGTATTAAACCTCGCATCGTTATCAGTGAAGATCGTGGCAAGTGGATGTTGCGATCAGAGAACACACTCAAAAAGATATCACTTGAGTTTACGCCCAATGTTGAATTTGATGAAACAACACCTGATGGGCGTGAAGTCAAGGTCCATATACATATATATTTCTTAGTTTTATCTTCTACTCTCCCTATTCATCATTTTCATTGAAACTTTTTTAGACAATCGTTCGATTTAAAGACGGTGCATGGGAACATACAACGCGTGACAAGCATGGAAAAGAATGGATTGCAACTCGTTATGTAAATGATGAAGGTCAACAACAGATTGTAAGTTATCAATTGTCTCTTGCGATTTATTAAACTTGATTTTTATAGGATATGAAATGTGGTTCAGTGACAGCTCATCGTTGGTTCAAACGTGTCGACTAGTCATTAAATTATTACAACCAAAACTCGATTTAATATTGTTGTATTTTTATGTGTAGTTCTATATATATCTATATCGTGTTCATTTACTAGTATGACAATCCTATCAATCAAGTGAGTCGTTGAGTCTAATTGATGAAGTTTACATTGTAATGTTTGAAGAAGCGTCCAAAAAGTGAGAATTTTGGAAATATGTGAAACTATCGATATTTTCACTATCTTTCAGCAAGTTACCAATATTACAGACTTCCTAGCTGTTTTGTATTAGTCTAGGATTTAATCATCATTATTATAGAGTTCAACAATTCTAGGTTCTTTAATAAATCTTCTAATTAATTTAATATCTTGACTCTACCTTGAAGTGTCATGCCCTTAATTTATCGTATCCACTTCATAGAAAGCCATTGTAGAGATTTCTCTTGTTTATCATTGATTATTTCAATAGGTTTTCCATTTCTTTAGTTGTAATTTTCAAAAGAACAAGTATAAGTCTCAATGACAGAGAAAATGATAATGAGATACGAAGTACTGCAGTATCTGACATTGCAAGAAAACGACACTTGACAACAACTAGCGATGATGAAATCAACGATACGATGATCATGGTTTATATCAAGCATGAAATAACATGAGAATCAAATCAATAACAGTCATCATGATCTTTTATTGTCAAATTTCAAAATAATGTGTGAAAAATGCCAAGTGTACTCGAGCAAACAGAATATATACATGATAGACTAGACTTTTTTGATGCTGACATGTCATATTGATTAATCAGATTGTTTATTCTTTTATAAAAATCATTTATCAGAGTTGTCAACGATGGGAACCTAGATAAAACAAAATCTAGTCGTATAAATTATTATTTTTTTATTTGTAGATGAAATAAGAAAAGGAAGTGCAATATTTCATATTGAAGAGAGTAGTTACAAAACTAAATATTTTGATCATAATATAAAATTTTGATATACAAATTAATAATGCATTAAGACAATCTCATTGTTGACCTATTTCGTTGGAAGACCTTTTCTACTGACATTTAGAAAGCAAGAGAAAAATTATTTTACTCTTGAAAAGACTTTTTTCGTATTGTTTTGGGCGAGTATTAAATATGATGAATGTGCATGTGTCATAGACTAGTTTATCTTTATTCGCGGCAACATCCTATGTGAAGGCATTAAAAAACAACCATATAGCCATAATATGAAAGAATTTTAATCTTAAACTGCATCCTAAGTAGCAGACCGTAACATTTTGGCCAATACTGATGCACCGTAGATTATTATATTAAGCCGTTAATTTAAAATAGGACACAAAAAAAGCAATATTTCTCTCTAGTGTTCGAATGAAAACATTCAACTGACATTTTTAGTTAAAGCAAGAAGAAGTTTGTTAAACTCTCATTATGTCAGTGAAAAACTTTGTTTATTTTTCTTGTTCTCTATACAAAACAAATAGAACATCGAATTTTTTGATTGCTCGGTACTAGTATCTTATTGACATTATTGATACATGGTTGATTACTCAGTCTATTCTAAAAGTTTCAACCATGAATGAATCGTGAGAATTTATGAAGAAATTGTAACTGTGTGTCATGTACTCTTGTGATTCTGTATTCTTTTTGAAGCGTTTTTCATCGAAAAATAGAAAACAAGAAATTCTTTTCACAGCTACACAAAAGTACATGAGATATCGTAGGAATTTTCTTAAAGAATTCTTACTATTTATATATATCAATGATGTACGACAATAGTATAAAAAAATAACCGAAAATAGTAGATTTCACATATGCATTGCTCTGAAAGATTTATGATGTCGACAATGGAAAAGGACTCAATACTTTCTGTAAATATAAATCTTTTTGAATAACAAGAAGAGAAACTCTTTTGAAGCATTGAAAAGAATGGCAACGCATTTTTTCCGCTCCGGGTGAAAAGGTCATGTATTACTCATGCGATCAAGAATCATAACATAAAGCAAAATATCATTATTCGTTTTTCGTACATAGAAGTCTATAAAATAAGTTTAATGCATTCTTGTCTTCAGACAACACTTGACAAGAAAAGAAACATAAACAGCAGAAAATAAATGTTAACATCAGAGAAAACAAATAATCATTTGCATTTCTTAGTAAATTGTTTTATCATTGGTAGAAAAAAGTGATTTTTTTCTCTGTTTTGACGATTCGCTAGCATAGCACGGCATATAAATAAAACAGAAAAGAGTGTTGTCGACAATCACATTCAAAACAGACGAATATGATTAAGATTGCCATCTTCATTGCTCTAGTAAGTTATTGTTTCTTTTTTTCTTTTTAATAATATAAAGCCAAGCTCTGAATTGAATTAAAGACATGTGTGGCCATTTCTTCGCCTCGAGATTCTGATTCCAACGAAAGATTTGGTTTTCATTTTCATCATGGTAGACAACCTACATGGTCATCAAAATTATGTCAAAACCAAACGTTAGCACAATCATATTTAAATTATACTCGACAACTTATAAATACTCTTGAAACAAATGGTTCGTATACACAAGTTCTTCAAAAACGTGCCCAATCAATAGCTTATTTTAAAAATGATAATAATACTGCTTTTCTATCATCGAACTGCAGTCAATTTTTTGCTGGTCTCAAATATGCTCGAAAACTTGATGCACAAGCTTTAAAACAACAACAAATGTATGAGAATAATGCTGCTCGTCTCTACAAACAAATACTTCATTCTCTTCTTGGCTTTCGTTTTTTTGTAGATGATGATTTTTAACAATTATTTAGTTTTTCATATACATGATATCTATATATATTTCGAAGTTTTTGAACACCAATAAACATGATACCATGTGCAAAATAGTTTCTTTGTTAAAGTTCTTTGACATAATACTTATATTAATTGAAATAAGAGGTTACTGTTTCAACACATTGTTTGCAAAAAATATTTACTTTGTTGATATTCGTAAAGTGTAAAATACTTGAGTTTCAGCAGATTTACAAATAGCACTTTACTAATGAGTTTTGGTAGATATTTCGAAATCGTAGTTCAAGACTATATCGATCTGAGTAGTCTCTAAAATCAATGAATTATCATAAAAAATTATTCAAGAATCAGTTGATCAGATGAAAGATGTTACAAAGATTACTTTTTGCTCGTATGATTAAGAAGGATTTGAACATTGTCCACATCGATTTTATAATTTTAAAAAGAAATGTGATTTCAATTCATACTGATTAAACCGAAGAGAATTTATATATTATATGAATGAATAGGACAATTTAAGAAAACGTTCAAAGCGAAAAGATTGGATGAAAAAGAATTCTCGGTACTGTTTCTTTGATGTAAAAATATGACATATGCAAAATCTGATTACTATGAAAATCATACACACAATTCACACTCACGAATAATATACTGCTTGAAAAGTAGGTGGAAAGGTAAGTCATAGTGACACATTGCTTTTTGAAGTTTGTTCAAATTAGGTTGAATTCATTTTCCAATATTATTTGCTGGAACATTTCTTAAAACGAATTAGCGATCAATTTAATCTTTTTAGCTCACATAAATAATCAGGTATACAAAACAGAAATTTCGATAGTTTACGAAGACATAATCAGTGAATTCAATGGATTTTTAGTAAGTCAACTTATCTGAAAAGGAAACTTCGATTTAATCTTTGTAATAAGAAACATTTACAGACGAAGTTACTAAGAAATTAACATGAAATTCGGAAGAATACCAACACGTAAATAACATACTTCAAAGAAATAACAGTAATTGTCAGTACGTCACAATGAACTTTTCAAGCTATTATCTACCATATTAAAACCTCAAACGAAAAATGTGAGAGTCATTTCTTATTCTATATATATTTATTTCTATAGATATATTCCTTGGTTTATGTATACAAATGTGAAAGAAACAAGTTTCGGTAATTTTCTTAGTAATTACAGAAGTTTTCTCCATAATCGGGTGGAAATTGGTTTTCATGTTTTAGGATTCTCCAAAAATTGTATGTCAAATTCATTCAGATATGGTACGTTTTTGGACTCTTATCATTTTCGTTTAATTTCCTTATAGTTTTTCGAAGATATATCTAATATCTTTAGCTTACTAGAAAACTCATGGCTGAAGCATACTGGTTACTGGAATTATGTAGGAAGTTGTATGTGCTATATATGAGTAAATTTCGAAGTTATGTGGAAATTAGCTCTCTATATCTCATGATGTTTCAAAAATGTTCTGTAAATTTCAGTATCTTGTTGATGGACAGTTCTGTGCAGTTTGTAAGAATTTTTAGTAATTGCGGTATGTTGTCAAAATATTGTTTTTTGCGTAATAATAGTTTCTGCATATGATATTTTATGAAAGAAATACCTTTTTTTGGAAATCTGAACACTGTTGGGAATAGGAAGAGATTGTAAAGTAATATGAACAAAAAGAACGTCTGATTCGCTTGTGAAACTTGTTATCGTCTCTTGCATCAGCTGAAGTAAAATTCTGACGGATATTGACGAACACTTTGCGATAGATCGACAGCTACATAGTTTTCTGTCCTTTTATTTGTTGTCGAACCAATACGATTCGACAAGGGGTATTATGAATGTATTGGGTAATTACAAAAGAGTTATAGAAACAATCGATTGATCTATAAATTGCATATTTTCGTTTGTTCGCCTTCTTCTATTTCACAGATAAGTTTTCTTTTTCTAAGAGTCAGAGAATTGTTTTTACTATCAAATTGTTTTCGCACAGATTTGACGCAATTTTCGATGTACAAACATCTAATATCAACGTATGGACTAATCTAAATATTGATGCTGATCCCAAACCCTATATTGTCAATACTGGTGTTACTTTGGCTCAACATATTTAAGCACAAAACACCAATATGCCACTCTATTTAGAAACGATGCTTACGCTCGGTGTAAATGGTGTAGAAATTCTACAAAAAGTCAAAGCATGTGCATTGACTGCAGTCTGGTGTCGACATGACCATAAATTGGCTAATACTTTATTGTGATACCGTCGTCTATTCTCCCTTACTGAAGTACTTAAAGCAATGACTATGTTAGATGCTCTACGACAAATTCGTGTACACAAAAAGAAGCTCAAACGATTGAAATCGAGCAAAGTCAAAGCGAAAACGGTAACACTCGGCAAGATCAAGAACAACATTGATAATTTGAATCAGCTAAAACCATTCAATGGATCTGTCAGCGATGCAGTAGCTCGCCATATTCAGCGATGGACACACACATTATCACAACAAGAGCTCGAGTATTTTGCGTTGCATATGCCGACAGAACCGTGGCGAAAACTCTCTGTTATTGTTCATTTCAATCGGACCAGAGATTTTTCGGCTCTTCCTTGGTTTTTACCATTCTGTTTTGAAAAACAAGCACCACCAGAAACAATGGTCGCTCGATGTCAAATCTTGACTAATGATAACGTGAATACATTACTTAAAGAATTCGAAATTCCCTATTCACGTCTCAAGCAATTCAAAGATCAATTAGAGGATGCATCGAAGGCAAGAATTACCGTGAGCGAAGATAAAATCGATACTCTTGTGTGGTATTATGAAGAGTTGCAATGTTCAGCGGTCAATGATATTATCAATGAGCGAATACATGACGATAAATGAGTCACATTGTCTTATGGCAAACTTATGGAACGTTTGTTGCTCTTCCGCATGTTATGTGAAAATGAAATGTAATTTTCACAAGATCTTGACCATCAAAATGGTAGCAATTCAAGCGCACATTCTAATGATCAACCAATACATTTCAATAAGACGAAATTTTACACGGACTTACTGCCAATAGCCGAAGCTCAGTTACAGAAGGTCAACCTCGATGAAAGTTGCCGTTTGCATGACAACCATCTTATCATCGCTTCTGCCGGCCATCTCTTAGGCTAAATTGACCTTCTTTACCAGTACATCGTTTGTACCAGCCTTTGTGCCTAGAACGATTGACGAGGTTCTCTTGCTGGCGTTGATAACTCAAGTCGATCCTTGAATAGCTAATGCTGCTGGTCTAGAACCTTATTATGATGCTAACGAAGTGATTAAAACTTTTGTGATGGTCACCGATGAAGAAGAAAATACCGATGGTTAACTGGCGGATGAAACGATGACGCGATTCTTTGATCTGTTCATGAGATATCGGGCAGAAGTCGACCCAGACAAATTAGTCTTCATCTCATTCCTGTCACATCAACATGCTCAAGGTGACATTTATTTCCAATTCATTACGGCAAATGTTCCAGATGTTCTTCAAGTAAGATCGAATTAGTTTTTATTGTTGAAGATTCATTTCTCACCAACGTCGCTTTCTACAAAATTTAGATCAAATTCAAGCGAGAACGTCCTGACTTAACTAAGATTGATAATCTACTCGGTTTTCTGTCGACTAGCTCAACAGATTCATCCGACAATAATCAACAGAAAAACAGCACATCGATTGGAGTTCTTATAAAGACCTCTTCAACAATAATGAACTTCTTCGTCAGTGCATGAGTAGTTCTAGTATTTGTTTGATTCAATTCACTTTTTTTTTGCAAAAAAAGCCTATAAATAGTAATAATAAATGTAAGTCAATCATTCTATAAAATATCAGAAAAAAAAACTAGTGCTAAATACAGAGAGCATGCAAATGTTTATTGTGTCAGTGACAAAACTCTCATGGTCGCAATATTCGAACAAATGAGCTGATGTTTTGTCTGGATAAACATGGCAGACTAGACTATCGATATGATCATAAAAATTGTAATGCAGGTGAACGAAAAATAAAATGATATCTGTCGCTTCATATGGGATCGATCATACATATTATTGTTAGGAGAAGAGGAGTTACGCATTGAAGATGTCTCTGACAATGCAAATAATTTTTTTGGCTAGTATTTATTTTAGCAATAAAACAAAGAAAAACTACATCATTTTATATGAATTACAGAAATAAAAAAGTTATTTACAATTGAAAAAAAAGAAAAGTGAAAAACCCATATATTATTGTGTGAATAGAGCTTTTTTTGCTTTAGATGGTCTGCCTCTTTTTCTTTTGATATTTTATTTTGTAAAATTGAAAAACTACGTATTTGGATATATAAATGAATTCATATTGTCCTTTGTTAATGGGTGATTGATCTAACAGATCAATACTGAACTACTACTTTATTTCAGAAATGGTAACTATATATATATATATGAATGAGCTAGAAAAAAATCAAACACTCTAGAAAAAAAACATAACGAAGAAGGGAATATACCTGAACAACATCAAGAGAAGAGAAATATTCAAGTGAGAGAAAGAAAACAAAAGACATATGTATATATCGGAATTGATTTTAAAATTCGATCCCCTTTCAAAGGCGACTAGTTGACTTTAAAATATTTTAAAACCAATTAGTTGAGTTTAAAAGAAATTTTAAATCCAACTAATTGAATTTAAAAAGGTAACTAGTTGATTTTGAAATATTTTAAAGACGACTCCAACACATACATGTATGTGTCGTACTTGTTATCTGTACAACATCGTAGAAGAGAAGAAAGGAAAAAAAGATATATAAGCCAGTCAGGCTATAACACCCTTTTTATATAAAATCTACCTTATATAAAATTTACCTTTAATTTAAATAAATTATTGCTCATTCTATATGATTATTGCTAAATTTCATTATTGCTCATTTAAACTATTTTATTGCTCAATTAAATATAAGTCTTTTTTTTTCAGTATAACGAAACATGATGTAGCTTGAAAATTTCTTAA